TAAAAACTCAAGTTGATCATATAAAAAGTAAAAAGTTGACCATATAAAAAGTCGAACTGACCATATAAAAAGTAAAGTGGGCCACATAAATACAAAGGGAATAATGACTGGTTTGGTGCCCCATATATGTGGGCATAAAAATGAAATGATATTGAATGACCTGAGTCTGGATGCTCAGTTTCAAACGTCGAACATGGAAAAGTGCTGAACCTCCATCCCCTTTAACACACCAGTCTCTCTCAGAAGAGCTAGGCAAGTTATGAAACAAAATGGCAGACCGGGGGAAAGGATTAGCGGTACAGACATAGTAATTCAATAACAAAAGTTAATACGTTACTTTGTTTTCTTTGCATGAATTTGGAGCTGAAGTTATGAAGCGTGAGATGCAAGACATGATGCGGATCGTACTATTGCTGTAAACTATGTCATCTAACCGTCACGGTTAGCTTAGTTTTCCTTTCAATGCCATCGGTTTCTAACTGAAGTTTCATCATATTGGCCGGCCGACTATGAGTGTGAGAAGAAGGGAGAGCAGGGGAGGGGATGTGTTCCAGGTTTCTTTAAACCATAAACCTACGTCAAACCTGAAAGAAATCGCTGAATGACGTGGAAACTCGTGGATGAGACAAAAAACTTTCGTTTAAAAAGCCAGCCGTTATCCTGGGAAAGAATTAAAGGATTGTATCTTTTTTTACTATCTTGTAGCTACTCTCACTATGGAGTCGGTTAAGACAGCTGAAGTGATGCTGAGAGGAAACGTATCAGGAAATTACATCGCGATGAACACCAAGGGAGAGTTGTATAGTACAGTAAGTAAGAGGGGTGATTGTTTAAAATTTAATGTTCCGCAATATTCAATTTCTTACACTAAGCGGACTCCTAACCAAGAGCATGTCTCCTTCTTTCAGACAATCAAGCCCCAACCAATGTGAGGAACAGTAACGATTCGGTCAATTTGTACTTTCACATCTCAAAAGTATGCACGTTTTCTTGTAAAAGCGGCAAAAGGAGAAACCAAAGGGCATAATTGAGACCTCTCGATCCAGCCAAAAAAATACAGTAAAGAAGTCGCGATCTCCCGCCATTCAAAGGGACTACGTCCTAGACAGACAATAAAGAGATAGGGGACTGTAAATCTTACCTAACTATAAATTAACAACAAGTCTTGATCGCTCGGTATTTTCTCCTATTTGTATCCGATCCTGTCTCATCGTCACTAACTTCATCTTTATTTTCAACAGAATAGTCCAACTCACCCGGAGTGCGTCTTCAAAGAGATTTTTGGAACGAAGTGCAATTCCTACCAATCCACGTTGAATCCTGCCTGGTACCTAGCTCTGACCAAACAAGGCGAGGCGAAGTATGGGCCCAAAACTAAACCCGGCCAGAGGGCTGTTGGCTTTATAGCTGAATGACTAATGAACCGAATACCAAAAGAGTTTATTAGTAATTTGTAATAGACCCAATTAAAAGATGTATAAAATGGAATCTACATATTTTCTGTTTTCTTTGTGTGTGTTTGTTTAACTTACAACTCCATATTAATGTTCTGTAAAGCTGTCTTGAGGGGGAGAGTTCTTTAGTATCGGAGATCGTTTGA